GAAGAGAGAGGAAAGAAGGGAGGAAGGAAGAAAAAAGAAAGAGAAAGAAAGAAGAAAGCGAGAGAAAGAGAAAGAATAAAGCACGAGGGAGACATGAAAGAAAGAGAAAGAAGGAAGGAAGGAAGGAGAGAGAGAGAGAGAGAAATAAATAAATAAATAAAGAAGAAAGAAAGAAAGAAAGAAAGAAAGAAAGAAAGAAAGAAAGAAAGAAAGAAAGAAAGAAAGAAAGAAAGAAAGAAAGAAGTCTTGCTTCCAAACAAAGAAAAAGGAAATAGAAATACCTAATAACCCTAAAAGGTTATTTGCTGCTTGAGATTTTGGGGGGTTTTTTGTGTGTATTCTACCTAGTAACTGCTGAGAAATAAGGCTCGAGACACCATTGGCTAGTTCTGCTGCACTCGGCCAATCCTGGGCTCTAAACTGTTCAGTGGCAATCTTGGGACTTTAGGACACCCGGGCAACAGGTCCCAGATCCCGGGTCCCGCAACTCCAAACATCGCAATTAATGGGAGGTGAACAAAACTTTTCTCTTCTCTTTGGGATGCTTTGTTGTCTGGTGGTGACTGTGCCCATGGGTGAGTTGTATCGGAAAATCGTCATGTGAGGATCACAGGGGAAAAGAAAAATAGAGGTTAATTCTAGAAGGTAGGAAAGGGAGGGGAAGCGCTACAGCTCCGGGGTGGGGACGGTAGGTGCGGGGAGCGGGATCTGCTCTGGACAAGAGAGGGGGTCCTGGGAGAGAGGAAGGCCACACTGGTGGGGAGGCGCGGCCTCTCCTGGCTTTACCTCGAGTGTCCCGACCTGGGTCTCGGGGACAGGGAAGTGGAGGGAGGAGGGTGTGAAAGAATCTAGGGACAACTAAAGAAACCGGACTCTGGCCAGAGAAGTGAGCTGAGGAAGGTGGAAAACGGCCCCCTTGATCTTTGCATTGATGGCTTACTTCATGGAATGTTTAAGGAATCCCTCTCTCGGGAGATACCTGAGCCTTGAGATATGCAAGCGACTCCCAGAAGCTGGGGCACCGATGAGACTTACTTGAGTGACAAGAGAGGCTGAACTCGACCAGCACCGAGGTACCAAGACTCCTAGGCTGATTTTCCTCCTCTGTAACCCTAGGCCTCTGGTCCCTGCCTGCCCTGGGTGCTCATGGAACCAGCTGCTGCCCTGCACTTCTCCCTGCCAGCCTCCCTCCTCCTCCTCCTTCTCAGCCTGTGTGCACTGGTCTCAGGTAGGGATGTGTGCCACTTGCTGCTGTCACCTCTCAGAAAGGAACATCAACCCTGTAGTCTGCAAAGGGAAAGAAGGAAGGACTGTGGGGTTGTTGACTTATGCTTCATTCTGAACATGTTCACTGAATTTACACCAGCACAGTCCAAAAGAAATACAGTGAGACACAAAGGTCAAGTGCATATACAAGTGCAAATTTTCAAAATTTTTTTAACTTTTTATTTATTTGTTTATTTATTTAAGAGACAGTGTATTTCTCTGTCACCAGGCTGGAATGAAGCAGATGGCGAATGAGATCATAACTCACCGTAACCTGGAACTCGTGGGCTCAAGGGATCCTCCCAATCTCAGCCTCACAAGTAGCGGAGAGTACAAGCAAGGGCCACCACACTCAACTTCAAGTTTTATTTTTTGTAAAGACAGGGTCTCACTATTTGCCCAGGCAGGTCTCAAACTCCTAGCTGTTAAGGATCCTACCACTTTGGCCTCCCAAATATCTGCAGTAACAGGCACAAGACCCTGTGCCTAGTCTACTTTTTATTTTAAAAGGTAAAAACATACTTGAAATAAGTTTTAATAATATATTTTGTTTCATATAATCAAATATCAATATTTAAATGCTTAGTTAATAGAAACTATTACCAATGAGATATTTGACATTTTGAAATTTTAAATCTTTATAATCTGTATGTGTTTTACACTTAGAGTTCATTTCAATTGGAACTGTTAAATGTCTAGTGGATAGTTAACACTAATTGTTAACACTAAGTGTTCACTATTAACACTGCCCTAATGGACAGTTCAAGTTTACACTACACTCAGGCACAGTGCTAGATTGCAGAATGGAGGAAAATCTCAGTGGCACAGGGTGCCCAGGGCGGGCTCCCCAATGTTTCCTTCATGAAGCAGGAGCAGCCTCAATAGTTACTGCTTCCAGGGGTGGGTGCTGCCCACCAGCCACAGCTACTGGTCCCCAGAAGGGTTCTCAGCCCAAGAACCCCTGTGGCCTTGGAATATCTGCTTCCTTTTGTCCCTGGAATTTTTTTCTTTTTTTTTTGCCTTAAAGATGTGATAACTGGTGTCTTTGTCTGATTCTGCCCCTTTGTTGAACAGCCCAGTTTACCGTCGTGGGGCCAGCTAGTCCCATCCTGGCCATGGTGGGAGAAAACACTACGTTACGCTGCCATCTGTCACCCGAGAAAAATGCTGAGGACATGGAGGTGCGGTGGTTCCGGTCTCAGTTCTCCCCCACAGTGTTTGTGTATAAGGGTGGGAGAGAGAGAACAGAGGAGCAGATGGAGGAGTACCGAGGAAGAACCACCTTTGTGAGCAAAGACATCAGCAGGGGCAGTGTGGCCCTGGTCATACACAACGTCACAACCCAGGAGAACGGCACCTACCGCTGTTACTTCCAAGAAGGCAGGTCCTACGATGAGGCCATCCTGCACCTCGTGGTGGCAGGTGCATCACTTCATTTGGCTTTATTACTTTTGCACAGTGTCACTTTTGGGGAAAATTTCTCCCTTAACCTCAGGCCCATTGCAGACCAACGGATATCTATCTGGAGTCCCCTTTCCACAGATAGAGTGGCTTCCTCCTGCACAAAGGCCACATGAGTGGGTTTGCTCTGCTAAGCTATGGGTTTCATTTCTTTTTTTTTTTTTTTTTTTTTGAGACGGAGTCTCGCTCTGTCGCCCAGGCTGGAGTGCAGTGGCCAGATCTCAGCTCACTGCAAGCTCCGCCTCCCGGGTTCACGCCATTCTCCTGCCTCAGCCTCCCGAGTAGCTGGGACTACAGGCACCCGCCACCTCGCCCGGCTAGTTTTTTGTATTTTTTAGTAGAGACGGGGTTTCACTGTGTTAGCCAGGATGGTCTCGATCTCCTGACCTCGTGATCCGCCCATCTCGGCCTCCCAAAGTGCTGGGATTACAGGCTTGAGCCACCGCGCCCGGCCCATTTCTTTTTTTTTTTTTTTCAAGACAGAGTCTTGCTATGTTGCCCAGGCTGGAGTACAGTGGTGCGATCTCGGGTCACTGCAACCTCCACCTCCTGGGTTCAAGCAATTCTCCTGCCTCAGCCTCCTGAGTAGCTGAGATTACAGGCATGCGCTACCATGCCTGGCTAATTTTTGCTTTTTTTTAGTAGAGACGGGGTTTCACCATGTTGGCCAGGCTGGTCTCAAACTCCTGACCTTGTGATCCACCTGCCTCAGTCTCCCAAAGTGCTAGGATTACTGGTGTGCGCCATCACGCCCAGCCTGGGCTTCACTTCTTCAGAAGCACACTCATTCCTCAGCTGAGGCCATGAGCGGGGGAAAATAATTAATCTCGGAAAAGAAAGTCTTATGCCTGCCATGGCATTGAACTGTGCACTTCTGAGAGTGAAAGGAGACACTGTCAAAAATTGTCCTGGGGCAATCAGAATCAATAAGAACTGCCCAGAGAACTACGACATATGAAATCTTATTTTTCGATAAATATTAATCTTGACATTTTCTTCTTTCCTGAAATACTGATTGCAGAGAGAGTGACTTACTTGTAAATAGGTGATTTTATTAAAGCACAACTAAATACAGAAGCAAAATTATATGTAATTCCTGCTAACTCCACAGAGAAAGACTAAGAATTTAGCTGGGAAAAAATTGGCAAGGCTCCAGCATAGAAATGCGCTTAAACTGGGATTTCTAAGAGTTTGTTAAAGTGACACTAAGTGATTACCTCAGTCTTAGGGTTAGTGTATTTTGCTTTAAAAGGTATATTTCAGGACTGAAAAAGCCTTTAAGGTGCAGAATAATTCATGGTGGCATTTCAGTCCATCAGACCTGTGGAGGCAAGGACTAGGAAATTGGGTTCTTCCCAGGAGGCCCCAAATCATAACAGGTAGGAGACCCCATCTTTGCTACTCACAAAGGCAACCTTACATCTGATTAAAACAGAACATCGTGGAAGGAGGGCTTCTTGACCCATTGTCATGACTGTGTTCACAGCAGCACTGCAGTGTTGCCCAGTAATGAATGGTTTCTATGTGGCAGGGACCCACTACTCTTTCTCTGTAAAATCAACCCTGTCCTGACCTTCCCCAGTCTGAACTGGGTTGCTGTAGGACTTTTTGTTTGCTTGCTTATTGTATTCTGCTTGTTGGATTGGTTGGTGGCTGATCTTTCCCTTAAATCTATTGTGTCATGTTACCTGTATTGAACCCATGGAATGTTTTGTAGGAGTTTGTTTTCCAATTTGCTGAGGTATTTTAATTTCTTTTCTAATTCAAGATTTCTGTGTGAGCCTTCAAATGCACAACTAGTTTTTTTCTCCTGACAAAAATTAAACAGAGCAGAAAGCACTAGGCTTAAGTGATTGCTTTAATTTTCTTTCTTTAATATAATTTGTTGGGAGACTTTACAAAGGAATTATTCAGGAGAAGTTTGGATGGTCAAACACAGCTGAAGGGTCTCCCAGGACCATGCTTTTGCAGCTCTCTCACTCCAGGTATTCTCTTTCATTGAAGATTCTAGTAAAGATAGAATATATTTAGGATGAGCCTGAATTATTAGGATTTTTGGTGATGATCTCTGACATTAAGGAGGCGATATGGTTATCTTAAGATCCCAGGGGCATCCAGATATTTCTAATACATTGATGTTCTCAAAGAACTATAAGAAAATTCTCTATTGGGTGGAACCTCTGGGAAGTAAACAACTGTGAATTAGAATAAGAGTTGGCTTTGCCAGCTAGCTCGGTCCATTCTCCTAAAAACCATCACCTCCTATGGAGGTAGATAGCCATGATGATGTGAGGCCCTGAACCAGACAGAAGTGTCAGTGACTTTGGTACAAAAAGTTTCTTAAGATTTAGCCAAGGCTGAGCATGATGACTCGTACCTGTAATCCCAGCACTTTGAGAGGTCAAGTCAGGTGAATTGCCTTAGCTCAGGAGTTTGAGAGCAGCCTGGGCAACATGGCAAAACTGCATCTCTACATTAAAAAAAAAAAAAAAAAAAAAGGGAAAAAAGGGATTCTGCCAACCTGGTAGGTTTCTGTCATCAGTGTATTATTTTAGAGCTTCAGGAAATTGAGGTCTGCAGAGAAGTCATCCCAGGACAGAAAGTGAAATTCTCAACCTGCCTGTTGAGAATTTGGACACACCCTCCTGGGAGTGAGAAAATTAGTCTTTGCCAGAATAAATCGCACAGCAAGCATTTATAGCAGACAGATAGATGCTTGGTGCTGTGATGGGGCCTTCAGGTGGAGCATAAAGAAAAGTGTGCAATGTGATCTTTTCTCTTAGAGATCTCACAATTTATTTTGCATATTGCTTTCCTGATGTTCTCCAAAACCAGGGGTCTTTCTAGCATCCTTCCTTCAAGGTGCAGTAGGGGCTAAGACACCACTGCCTTTTGACTGAGCCCTTCTCCCTCTCCAGGCCTTGGCTCTAAGCCCCTCATTGAAATCAAGGTCCAAGAGGATGGGAGCATTTGGCTGGAGTGCATATCTAGAGGGTGGTACCCAGAGCCACTCACAGTGTGGAGGGACCCCTACAGTGAGATCGTGCCCGCCCTGAAGGAGGTTTCCATCGCTGATGCAGACGGCCTCTTCATGGTCACCACAGCTGTGATCATCAGAGACAAGTCTGTGAGGAATGTATCCTGCTCTGTCAACAACACCCTGCTCAGCCAGGAGAAGGAAACTGTCATTTTTATTCCAGGTTAGTTCTCTGCCCTCTGAGACCTATCGAGTGTATGCAGGATCCTCAGCACACAGAAGGAGCCCAGAGTGGGGATGTAGACAGTAGTGTGGGTAGAATTGTCCTGGGCTCTGAGGAGCTGGAGACTGCAGCTGAGTTGAGGCCTCTCCCCTCCTCACAAAGGGAGATTCAAAGAGTCCCAAAACACAAGAGTAGGAGCCTCTTCTCTGAGGGTAAACCTGGTCTTTTTTTCTTGATTAGGTCTTTATGCTGCAACAATTGTAAAATATTAAGGACAACCATCAAACACGGAGAGTAGTGTGGATGGGTGACTGTCTACACTTGGCATTCCTGTATGCTGCCATCCCTTCCTGTCTATGGGACTTCCCAAAGGACAGAGTTGGGGAAATTCCCTATCAACAGACATTCATAAATGTATTCAACAAATGTTCAACAAGCATTTCTTATGTTTAAGACTGTACTGGAAACCAAGGGTCAATAATTGAACAAAATATATCAAAATTTCTATCCTCAAGGAGGTCATATTCTAGAGAGAGACAGCGGCCGGGCACGATGGCTCATGTCTGCAATCCCAGCACTTTGGGAGGCCAAGGCGGTGGATCACAAGTTCAGGAGTTCAAGACCAGCCTGGCCAAGATGGTGAAACACCATCTCTACCAAAACTACAAAAATTAGCCGAGTGCAGTAGCAGGCGCCTGTAATCCCCGCTGCTTGGGAGGCTGAGCGGGAGAATCGCTTGAACCTGGGTGGCAGAGTTTGAGCCGAGATCACGCCACTGCACTCCAGCCTGGGCGACAGAGTGAGACTCTCTCTTAAAAAAGAAAAAGCAAAAAAGGGAGAGAGAGAGAGAGCAAGATATGAAATAATTGAAACAAATGATTAAATAAATAATTATCTATATATTCTATCACATAGTGATGATCATGTAGGAAAAATTAAGCAAAGAGAAAATAGAGAGTTCCAGGAGTGTGAGGCATCATAATTATTAACAAGGTGGTCAGGGAAGACTTCACTGTAAAGATGGAAATTGAGCAATCAAGGCAAGGAACCATCAGATGCTTAAGGACTGAGCAACCAAGGTACAGGAAGAGCATATGTAAAGGGCATGAGGAAAGAACGTGTCTGGCAGTTTCCAGGACTCCCAGGAGGTGATGCTGGTGTGGCTGAAATGGAGTGAGTTCAGGAAGTTGGGGGAGATGAATTCACAGAGGTGATGCAACTACGTTATATATGGCAGCACAGGCCACAAACAGGCCTTGGCTTTTAGAGTGAGTGACACAGGAAGCATTGGAAGGTTTTGAGCAAATAATTAACATGATCTCACTAGAGCTGCTCTGCTGAGAACAGATTACAGAATAGAGCAGAACAAGAAGGAGGACACTCTAGTATTCCAGACATGAGTGATGGTGGCTTGAGGCAGAGTAGTGGCTGTGCTGACTCAGCATGGCTGGTTAGCTTTATGCACCCTGGTCCTTTCCATGGTGATTCCAGATGTTTCTGCTTTGCCCCCTTCTCGGCCCGGCTCTGGCAGTCACTGAGGCGTTAGCCAGTGTTGAGCCAGCATCGCTTTCTCCATCTGAGGTTTCTGAGGGAGAAGCCAACAGAGCAGGTGGCTGAGGAGCTCATCAGATGTGCTCTTAGGGGCACTCTCATCCGGATGTTCTATTTCAAACTAAGTGGACTTTTCTGACTGCCTTTTCAGAATCCTTTATGCCCAGCACATCTCCGTGGATGGTGGCCCTGGCTGTCATCCTGACCACATCTCCCTGGATGGTGTCCATGGCTGTCATCCTGGCTGTTTTCATCATCTTCATGGCTGTGAGCATCTGTTGCATCAAGAAACTTCAAAGGGAAAAAAAGATTCTGTCAGGGGAAAAGGAAGTTGAACAAGAGGAAAAAGAAATTGCACGTAAGGAATTTGGAAAGAAAGTATGGAAAAATAGAAAGAAATTTTAAAAAGTTAAATAAGTAGGAGGACAATTGACTGTCATAGAAAGGCCACAGCTCTCACAGGTACCGGCTTGGGGAAGAGAGAGGAAATGCACAGCAGCAGCAATAAGGGCTTGGGACTCTCATGTCATAAGAAGTAATCATTCAGAGCTTTCTTTCTTCCATGCTGCACACATTGCATTCATTCACCTGGCTATATGCAGCACTACATGGCTGAACAAAAGTTCAGACAAAAATCTAACAATGTACTGATACTCCCCAGCCGTCTGATCATACGTCATTGCTGGTTTCTGACTGTTCCCTAGGCATAAGGGAAGGGTGATGTTAGTGTTCATAGAAAGAACGGTTCCTACATTGTTTAATACAAGCTCAATTTCTCTTAGTTCTTCTGTTGAAGACATGATTTTGTTTCTGTATTTTGTTTTCAGAGCAACTTCAAGAAGAATTGCATAAGTTTAGCCTTTCCTGAACTACTCTGTGTACAATTTGTGTTCTGTTTACTTAGTAGCATCTCATGACATTCGCCTCTGTCTGTCCCTTGCAGGATGGAGAAGAACAGTCTTACACGCTGGTGAGTGCCTCTGTCGTTCTCTCAGATCTCAGCTTTCTCCTCACTAGCCAGCTAACAGGACTTCTTAGAGGAGATGAGCAAGGGGCCCAGGGCTAGGTGGGGACAATAGGGAACTGGGGTCAGTTCATCAACAGTGTCCCAGCAATGATGCATCATGGCTTTTCTGTCAGGGAATCCCAGCAGCTCTTAATGAACCCTGCAGTTTACGTCCCAGGACCCTTTCTCTTTTGGAATAACTTGATGCGTGATTACCAAAGGTTTCCCATGCATGGTAGCCTCCCCAAGAGTTACATTTCAGAAGTTATTGCTCTTTGATTCTGGATCAGTTTGAAAGAAGATAATGCTGTCTTAGCAATTTATATCCTGGGGATGCTACAGATTGTGCACAGTTGAAGACCCACGTGAGGAAGAGGCCATAAGGCTCCCCAATAAGCCTGATGCAGTGGTGTGCAAATAGGCAGCAAGAAATACCTTTCTGCTTCTAAGAGAGCACTGATATTCTGCATGTAGTCTGCCAGGGGAGGGGATTTAGGTGAGTGGGAGGGTGAGTGGGAGAGCACAGAGAAACCAATCGCCCACTTTCAGTGAGTTCTCATCTCGTGATTCGGCACCTCTGTCTGTCAGCACCAAAGAATCCAAGCTTTACCAGATACCAGGGCCCATGGACCTTTCCTCTTTGGTGAGTTTCAAAATTGCCACTGTCACTTTGGGACACAATCACAACTTGTCACAATCAGACATATCAACTTGCGGAAAGGAGAAAATCATTGTAACGCAGTAGAAAGGTAGACTGAATTAGTAAGAATACATGCAGATGGTAGAGGTTTGCAGAATGCTCAGCTCCTGCATTTCCTGTATGGGAGAAGTCATCTTGGTAGACGTTAGACCCATGTTGTTAAAGCAAAACTGGATTGAAGTATTTCTTCCCTAACTTTGCCCACACGCCCCTCAGGCACCAGGTTTTCTTTTGTACACATTTATTCTCCTTCTTTATCCTTTGAAGGGTGTCCTTGTCAGTCACGTAAATCAGTTGTCACCTATTAAAACAACCTATAGGACCAATGAAGAGGTCCTTCACCACCTAGGACAGTGTGTAATGAGAGACTCACTTAATTGATCATTGAGAGGAGTGTGGTGGAACAACAGGAGATAAAGCTTCTGTGATGGTTTAAGCAAAGTTGGAAAGTTTCTAACTAAAGTCCCAGAGATCACATGTCTTGAATAGAAAAGGAATCAGAGCTTAGAATGCTGAGAAAAACTGGGAACCACTAATTTTGGCTCATTTCCTAAACTCTCTGGACTTCATAGAGCCACAATTCTTCTCAACCTGGGGGTGCTGCTTCTGTCTCTGGAGAGATAGAAGTACAGCTTCAGTAATTCTCAGGGTATGAGCTGCCTGGGATCAGGGGACCTTTATGGAAACAGCCACTACATGGGGAACCCCCTGCAGCTTTCTGAGACCTCTCTGGGGACCAGGAACCACACAATCCCCAGGGTTCCTGAGACCCCAGGCCTAAACCTGAGACTTCCTCTGCAGCTGATGTGATCCTGGATCCAGACACCGCTCATCCCGAGCTCTTCCTGTCAGAGGACCGGAGAAGTGTGAGACGGGGCCCCTACAGGCAGAGAGTGCCTGACAACCCAGAGAGATTCGACAGTCAGCCTTGTGTCCTGGGATGGGAGAGCTTCGCCTCAGGGAAACATTACTGGGAGGTGGAGGTGGAAAACGTGATGGTGTGGACTGTGGGGGTCTGCAGAGACAGTGTTGAGAGGAAAGGGGAGGTCCTGCTGATTCCTCAGAATGGCTTCTGGACCCTGGAGATGTTTGGAAACCAATACCAGGCCCTGTCCTCCCCTGATAGGATTCTCCCTTTGAAGGAGTCCCTTTGCCGGGTGGGTGTCTTCCTGGACTATGAAGCTGGAGATGTCTCCTTCTACAACATGAGGGACAGATCGCACATCTACACATGTCCCCGTTCAGCATTTTCTGTGCCTGTGAGGCCCTTCTTCAGGATAGGGTCTGATGACAGCCCCATCTTCATCTGCCCTGCACTCACAGGAGCGAATGGGGTCACGGTGCCTGAAGAGGGCCTGACACTTCACAGAGTGGGGACCCAGGAGAGCCTATAGAATCAATTCCCTGGTCTCACAGCCATGCAGATAAGCCCTGGTCATCTCAGCAGCCACTGCACAACACTCCTAATGGAAGACACGCCCTCCTCCCCTCTGGTCACATAAGAGAACATCTTCCAGCTGCCTTTTTCACACCCACTCCAACCCTCAGCCCCAATTTTCTCCTCCTCACTAGGCTGTGGCTTTAGCAGTTCCTTTGCTTGTAATTATGGGATGGGATCCAGGCATAGGGAACTAGTTGTTTCATAGCTCCCAGCCAAGAAAAAAGTGAGAGAAGCTGTTGGGCAGCAAACCTGCTGCTGAACATCAGGACAACCATATTGAGCCCAATATGCCAGTTGGCACCAGATGCTGTGGACTTGGAATGAGGCTAACAGGATTCGCCAGGATGAGAGAGGAGAGAGGAATCCACAGGACCACCAGAGGGTAGAGGGAACCAGATATGCAGGTCAGAGATAGAGGAAGTGGAACCAGAGAGCTGGAAGGCACCAAGGTTGTAAGGATGGCTAAGTCCCACCATAGCAGCTAAAGGGTCCTGGGAGATGATGGCTCATTTCCACCCAACCCCAGGATTTCCACAACACACACCCACAGGCCTGGACCTGGGACAAAGATGAATGAAGAACATGGACTCATGTGGATGTGGTTTGGCTCACATGTGCCTGCAATAAACAAGGAGTAAGTACTTAGTCCCTGAGTGTGGTTGAGGTTTGAGGCCCTGGTCGAGCAGGGAAGTACTGGACCTGGTCTAGGTCAGCATTCAGATTCAATGGGGACACCAGTGGCTTCAAACTTCCTGATCTAATTATGTCTTTAGACACTTAGAAATTATTGAGGACCTTAGAGAGCTTTTGTTTATTTGGGTTAATATTTGTTAATATTTATGGCATTTGACATTGAAACAAAAATTTAGAATGTTATCTTTTAATTCATATTAAAATAGCATGAATAAATCAATTATAGGTTAATATAAACAGGATGTTTTGTGAAAAAGCAATCTATTGTGTCCAAATAAAAGAACAAGAAGTGTGACACTGGTTCACTTTTTCCAAATCTAATGTCTGGCTTAATAGAAGATGTTTGTATTCTCATATCTGTCTTTATATTAAACCTATTGGTATATCATGGGTCATATTGGCTCAAAAAAACTTTACTGCACCCTACTGAAATAACGAGATGAAAAACGATCAATGTTTCATTATTATTATTGTGAAAATAGTACTAACACTGGGGACTCCTTAAGAGTACATCAGAGTTCTCCCTAGGAATCCCAAGACCACATTTGGAAACTAGAATAGTGGATCCTGGAAGTTAATCCATGTGCTGGTTAATTTTAGATGTCACCTTGACTGGATTAAGGAATACCTAGACAACTGTACAACATTATTTCTGGGTGTGTCTGTGAGTGTGTTTCCAGAAGAGACTGGCATGTGAGTCAGTAGGAAATTCTCCCCTCCAATTGACTAGGGGTCCAATAGAACCAAAAGGCAGAGGAAAGGCAAATTCTTCTCTCCTCTGGAGCTGAGACACTCTTCTTCTTCTGCCCTTGGACATCAGAACTCCTGGCTCTCTGGCCTTTGAACTTCAGGACGTGTACCAGGAGGCCCTGGGTTCTCAGGCCTTTGGCTTTGGACTGAGAGTTACACAATCATCTTCCCTGGCTGTGAGGCTTTCGGACTTCAAATGAGCCGTGCTACCAGCATCCCAGGGTCTCCAGCCTATAGACAGGCTGTTGTGTGATTTCTTAGCCTCTGTATTCACATGAGCCAATTTCCTTAATAAATGCCTGCTCATAAATCTGTATCTATATCTATATCTGTATGTGTATCTATATCTATATCTATATCGTATTGGTTTTGTCTCTCTGGAGAACCCTGACTAATACAATCAGGCATCTAAAATTCTGGCTTGAATGGTAGTATTTTAGGTTTTAGACAATTCCGTAATCCAATTGGACTGAAAAATTTTAAATAATCAAAAATTTTATTACTGTAGTTACAAATAGACACAATATTGAAAGAATCAGGAGTGATTTTTTCAATACCGATTTGTAAAGATGGAAAGCAAGGTTGTTTATGTTTATGTGTATGTCTTAGCCTATGTGGGCAGCTATAACAAAAATACCACCAAGACTGAATAGTTTGTAAACAACAGAAATTTATTTCTTGCAATTCTGCAGGCTGGGAAATCTAAGATCAACACCCCAGCATATTGGTGTGTGGTGAGGGCCCATAGACTTGTTCACATGGCGAAGGATAAAGATAGATCTCTAGGGTCTCTTTTGGAGGGACACTAATGACATTCATTAGGGCTCCCTCAACCTCAGAGAGAAAATAGGAGGAGGAGATTCCAAATTTCCTGCTGGTGCCCTGACCTGCTCCTGCCCCTCCTCATCTATTTTCTCTGATTTAAGAAGCAGGTATCCTTTCCCCTGTGTCAGGCTAATTCTCCATCCACACCCTGGACCCTCACTCTCCAGTTTCCCTTAGGACTTCTGTGTTTAGTTCATTCATTCATTCAACAAAAATCAATGAGTACTAACTACATGCCAATCAGTGTTCCTGGTACTGGGGGCAGAGAAGTGCACAAAGCATAAAGTCCCATTCCTTATGGTTGTAGAAGACAGACAGAAAACAAAATAAGTAGCAACATATATGGTGTGTTGGATGATGATAACTGATCAGGAGATAAATAAATTGGGGAAGGAATATAGGAAATCACAACTTCTAAAAGGGTGGTAATGAGCAATAGGAGTGAGGCACAGAATACCTGGGAGAAAAACATTCTGAGTTGAGAGAACAGCAGTGCCAGAGCACAGAGTCAGAAGCACTGTGGTTTGTGTGAAGAACAGTAATGAGGCTGGGGTTGGCAGAGCACACAGGGTAACCAGGAGAATAGGAGGTAACAAGACCAGAGGGGGTTAAGGGCCAGATCACGTATGGCTTTGAAAGTCATCATGCTGACCTGGGCTTTACCTCTGAGAGGGGAGCCACAAGAAGGTTGAGCAGAAAAAGGACTGGACTTACTTAGGTTTTAAGAAGTTACTTCACATGCTAGACTGATATGGGCTGTGGGTAGGGCTGGTGGATGGAGGCCTGAAGACCCAGCTGGGAGCTACTGCAGTGATCCAGGGGAAAGATGCAGATGACTTGTACCAGGGAGGAGCCATGAAAATGTTATGATGCTGGATTTATTTTCAAGACAGAGTAAAAAGACTTTGCTGATAAACTTATGGGTGGGGTGTGAAAAAGGAGGCCATCAAGGGTGACCACAGGTTTTGGTCCAAAGAAACTGTACAGATGGAGTTGCCACTTACTGAGATGAGGAAACTGAAGGAGAAGCAGGTTTTGGAGGCCAGGGGAGGAGCCAGCATAGAATCCAAAGGTCAGTTTTGGATATGTTCAGGTGGAGGAGCTTACTAGAGATTCCTGTGGAGATGTAGAGTAAGCCAGTCAATAATAAATATGTAGTCCAGGCAACAGGTCAGGGCTATAAACACAAGTTATTCTCTTTATCTTCTTTATCTTCATGTTTGCTGCCACTGCCTGTTTCACTTTAATGCATTAGTGATCTATTGCTGCATAACAAATTACCACAAACTTAGTGGTTTAAAACAGCGCACATTTATCATTTTAGCTTCTATGGGTCAGAAGTCCAGGCAGAACTTAGTGAGCTTCTCTGCTCAGAACTTCACAGAGCAAAAGTCAAGGTGTTGGCCAGGCCGTAGCCTCATCTAGAGCCTCGACTGTGGGAGAGTCCTCTTTTCAGATCACTCAGGTTGTTAACAGAGTTCATTTCTTTACAGTTGTAGGACTGAAAGCCCCAACTCCCTGCAGGCTGAAGCTGGAGGCTGCTTTCAGCTCCTACAGGCCTCCTCAGCTCCCTGCTGTGTAGATTTCCGATGATGACTACTTTCCTCTTCATAGCCAGCTAGGAAGATAGAGCCTCTAGAATGGGTCAGCTAGCAAGACAGAGTCTTATACTACATAATGTAGTCATCGAAGGGACATCCCATCAGTTTTGCCGTATTTTATTGGTTAGCAGCAAGCCACAGGTTCAGCTCAAACTCAGGGAAAGTACAGGCTGCAAACTGCAAAAAAAGTAATCATAAGGGGTCCACTCCAGACTCTGTTGGCTACACCATATAAGAAGCTCAAGGTTCTCCCTGCCCTGCATCCCCTTTCCCTGGGCAATACGACTGTGCTAGCCTCTCTCTAGGTCTCTACTTCCATACAAGCAAAGTCTCAGAAAGAGAACACATACATGGCCATCAGACACTGTCTGCCATGATGATGGCCACTGCTGTACCACACCAAAAACATTGTTCTTTCTTTCTTTCTTTTTTTTTTTTTTTTTTTTTTTGAGACAGTCTTTTGCTCTGTTGTCCAGGCAGGAGTGCAGCAGCGTGATCTTGGTTCACTGCAACTTCTGCCTCCTAGGTTCAAGCAATTCCCCTGACTCAGCCTCCTGAGTAGCTGGGATTACAGGCCTGTGCTACCATGCCCAGCTAACTTTTGTGCTTTTAGTAGAGCAGGGTTTTGCCATGTTGGCCTGACTGGTCTTGAACTCCTGACCTTAGGCGACCTGCCCGCCTCAGTCTCCTAAAGTGCTACATTACAGGAGAGATTCACTACTCTCGGCTCGTAAGCATTGTTTCTATCAGTTTCTAATGGTTTCCCAACCATTAAATTCGTTATACATTTCTATTTTCCCCTGCCACCCCTGTGCTTCCCTTTTTAGAGAGACAGGATCTTGCTCCATCACCCAAGCTAGAGTTCAGTGGTGTGATCATAGCTGAGTGCTGCCTTGATCTCCTGGGCTCAAGCGATCCTCCTGCCTTAGCCTCCCACAGTGCTGGGATTATAGTTGTGAGACACTGGGCCTTGCTAGTCATTGTACACTTCTGCCCTTTCTTTACGGACAACCCTGAGTTCTTCATAGACCTGCCTGAGTAGGTGTTCCTGCCTATGTGACATCTGCCTCATCAATCCCCAGGGCTCTCTTCTTGGTCTTTCCCTACTCCTAGGGAGATCCTTCTCAGAGTTCTTGCTCCACTTGCTCCAGAACTGCTGAAATTCCTTAGGCTTTGGTCCCGGCTTCTCTTTTCACACCACATATGTTCTTGCAAGGTCTAATTCGTTTTCAAAGCTCTACCCCATAACCAGACCCCACCGGCACTTGCATTTCTGTCTCCAGCCCCACACATTCCCTGAACTCAGTGCCCACTAGCATCTCACAATGAGTGTGTCCAAAACTAAATTCCCATCAGCCCTGCCTACCCATTATTATCTGAAGGAGTGACACCACCTAAGAGTCATTTTAGCCTTCTCTTGCTCTCTTTTACCCACCACATCTGACTGATAGCCAAGTCCTGCTATTTGTACTTCCTTTCAGTAGTCCAGCTCAGTGGTTTGAGCACAGACTCTGGAGTGAGACAGCCTGAACTCAAAGCCCAGCTTAGAAAGAAATTACTCATGTGACCTTGCGGAGTTATTTAACCTCTCTGGACCTCAGATTTTATATCTATTAAATGTAGGAAATAAGGTTTCTACCTCTTAGGGTTGTTGTGAGTCTTACTAATACATGTAAATCTCTAAGCACAATACCAACATTGTAGCAGGTTCTATGTAAGTATTTCCTAGTATTAATGTTAGTAATCAATAAAGTCTCCTATCCCCCATCTCCAAGCAGTCATCATTTCTTGCCTAGAGTGTCACAGTAGCTTCCTTCCTGGTCTCCCTATCTCCTAACATCTGGCCCACCGATGAGGACAGGATATATTGTGCAACCCCAGCAGGCATCATCCCATAGTATACAATGTAAATGGCGCCCCCTACCTCCCATCTTCCCTGCACCTACCTCACTTATATTTCAACCGTACATATTTTCTCATGTCGAACTTTTCGGAGATTTTCCCTTCATCTTCACACTAAAAGTCCAACTCCACAGCAGACATCTGTTGATGTTATCTCCAGGGGAAGTGGATTTAGGAGTCATCAATGCAGGGATCAGAATTGAACCTTTCAGAAAGGAAGGCAATGAAATTCATCGAGGGTTACTACTTGCAGGGCCTGTGCTAACTGTTCCTTAAATAACTTATGGAACAGATCTCATTTCCACCCTACAGACAAATGAATAGAGACCTTGAGTAATTAGTTAACTGGCTTTGGATTCCAGGGCTAATGAGTTGTGAATGAGAACAGATAAAGATAGAAAACAAAACAAAACAAAACCTAGCGACAGTACATAGTAAGGCAGTGTGCCTTGGACGTGCTGACAGGTATCTAGATACAGCATAAAGAAAATGTGTGTTCATGAGAGTTCTTAATGGCAACAAGAGGTGGCATAATAACCATGAGAAATGGACATTTGTTGATGAGACTAACTAAATAAAGGAGACAGATTTCTTGGCATTTTGCCACACCTATTGCATGCAGGACACTGCACTAGGTCTTGTAAAAGACAAAGAGAAGATAGCATCAAGGGCCTAGGTCTTGAAGGAGAGCTGAGTACAATTTTACTAAGCATACATTCTTGTGACTTACTGTTTTTGATACACTGTTGTTACCAAACTGCATGCATTATCTCATTCCATCCTCACAACAGCAACCCTAAAAGTCAGGTACTGTTACTGTCCTTATTTTACAGATAGGGAAACTGGGGCACAGAGAAGTTAGGTAACTGGCTCAAGGTCATGCAGGCCACCTGACTTGAGAATTAGTGCTCTTATCCACTCCATTATGCAACCTCTGCTCACTAATTTTGAACTTCAGTGCCTGAGACCTACTAGATGATAGATTCTCAGTAAAACTTTGTTGAGTCACTGAATTCATTTCTGCCCCATTTCACATCCATTTCTTTCACAAGACTTCTTTCCCAGAGTTCTGTGTGAAGAACTGTATGAGAAATGGAGCAAGGAGCCTGATACTTTGGAAATTACAAACTTGAGAGATATGAATTATTGGGCCCAGAAACTCCTAATCTGAAGTTTAGCACCTCAGCTGCTTCTTTGTGTCAAAGTGATTTGGATCCTTCAGGCAAGGATGGGTGATCGTTCTCACTGACATAATTTCAAGCAACACAGCTTCTGATAGACTATGAATTTAAAAATAAGTAAATGAGGTGCAGTACTCACCCCTAAAAACCCAGCACTTTGGGAGGCAGAGGCAGGCAGATCACCCGAGGTCAGGAGTTCAAGACCAGCCTGGCCAACATGGCAAAACCCCAACTACTAAAAATACAAAAATTAGCTGAGTATAGTGGCAGGTGCCTGTGATCCCAGCTACTCGGGAGGCTGAGGTAGGAGAATCGCTTGAAACTGCGAGGCAGACATTACAGTGAGCCAACAGCATGCCACTGCATGCTAGCCTGGGAGACACAGCAAGACTCCATCTCAAAAAAAAAAAAAGAAAGAAGCAAATGAACAAATAAATAAGGATAATAGATGGATAGGGAATTAATAGTGATATGGAATATTATAATAAAGTAAGAAAGTTTAGTAAAATATTAGCTCTATCAATATAATTTATATGGTAGGTAATTGGTATTCACTGAAAATTCTTTCACCTTTGCTATATGTTTTAGAAGTTTTATGATAAACTGTTGAGGAGGAAAAAGGGAGAGGAAAAAAATTTGTACTTCTGCTCCTGATAACAGAGACCAGAAACACCACTGGCCTAAACAAAACAAGGGTTTCCTTGTTTTTTTTTTTTTGTTTTTTGTTTTCACGTAAAATGAATTCAGGTGGTGGCAGTCCAGGGCTGATCTGGCACCTCAGAGATGTCATTCATGCCCCAGACTGCTTCTGACTTCATTCTCTGCTGTCTCTACATGTGGCTTCCAACTTCAAGGTTGCCTCATGGTCCCAGGAGGGCTGCTGCACCTCCAGGTCAAAAGTCTACCTTGTAGGCAAGAGGAAGAGGAAGTATGGAGAGTGTACCCTCACACTCCCAGCTATTTTGGTCCATCCTTTGAAGGTTCTCTGGGAGAAGCACAAGACCACAACTGTCACCTACAAACCACTGGTTCCAACTTAGTCCCTTGGCCTCTGCTATCTATGAGATGAAACAGCACGTTGCTGTACCTAAGAAAATTAGGTCTTATCACCAAGAAGAAACAGGAAATGCATGATCCAGAAGCGACCAGCCTTCTCAACCAGATGCCACACAGTCTAAATTGAAACTGTTGCAATGTAATTAAATTCCACTAGCCGCAGTCACATCTTAGCCTTAGGAACTTTGATCATTGACTTGCAATCCCGGAAAGTGTGTTTTGAGGTCCTAGACCACAAGAAGAACCAATTTGCTTCACAGACATCTTACGGAGACAGCATTCACAGTTTGTCTAGAGTCCGGCCTCAAAGAATATGTACTCCACTGGCAGCATGAGAAACAAATACACAGGAAAATACAATGTAGCACAAACCAGGAGCTGAAGGTGAATGGAGATGCTCAGAAACACCTGCACTAAAAATTTGCTGAAAAAGGTAAAACATGTCAAGCAGCACTGCCTCTGGAAACCAGAAAAATTATATTATTTATTAACAGATCCTATGCCTGGATGCTGGAAGTACTTAAAAATGTGCACTGTTGGCCGGGTGCGGTGGCTCAAGCCTGTAATCCTAGCACTTTGGGATCTGAGGCAGGAGGATCACTTGAGCTCAGGAGTTCAAGACCAGCCTGGCCAACATGGCAAAACCCCATCTCTACTAAAAATACAAAAAGTAACTGGGCATGGTGGTGAGCACCTGTAATACCAGTTATTAGGGAGCTGAGGCAGTAGAATTGCTTGAACCCAGGAGGCAGAGGTTGCAGTGAGCCGGGATCCTGCCACTGCACTCCAACGTGGGTGACAGAGTGACACTCCCTTTCAAAAAAAAAAAAGTGCATTGTGTCTCGTTTTCTTTCCATTTATACGTTTATTTGACTCTAGTAAAATCTCCTCTTCCTGCATGTACCCATATTCATGCAAGCAAATGTTAGCAAACTGCCCCAATAGCATTTTAATTAGTGCACATCTTTCTCTCTTTGCCACATTAAAATCTTTTCCCATTTTGTACTGCTAATATTTCTATTATGAAAAAAGACATAAGTAAATATATAGAAATACTTATATACATGTACACGCAAGAATGAAAGAGAGAAACGTAAACACTAAGGGAGATAGGGCTGGAATTTTTCTTCAATGTGTACAATCCAATATACTTTCAGTTTTCATTTCAACCTTCCTCAGTAGTTTCTGCCCAGCAACTGATGAGAAACATCACCTCTAAGCCAATCAAAAAACTAATTCTTCCAAAAAGAGATGATTATTCCTCACAATGACCAGACAGCCTCTGCTTTCCTTTTGTTTTCTTCCAAGTGGAGATTCAACCATAATAGAAAGAATGGAGAACTATTAACCACCTTTCTTCGGTGGGTTGTGATTTTCAGAGAGGAATGTTGAGAGGTAAGCGGGGGAAGTTGTTTAGAGCCTGGGCTACAATGCCTGGGAGGACACGGGCTGAATCGCTGAGAGTGGGCATGCAGGGAGAGTACTTGCCCAGAGAAAGGGGTATGTGGCTGAGGGGGTGTGCACACACACATGTGGACACACGGAAAGGGGAGAAGTAGTGTAAAGAATAAAGACCTGCAGAGTTTGGGGTTTCGTGAAGAAATATTCTAATTGCATGTTCTTAAGAATGTATTGTGGTCACAAAAAGGCAAAAAATCTTTAAAATCTGTTCTAGCCAACTCAAGGCATCTATTCTAAGAATTTCTAAAAAGAGATGTCCCTTTTACATTCATATGTAAATTTGTTCATTTCAGAAATATTAAAAATATAGAAAAGTCTGAACCAGCATACATATACAACAGGCGGGGGATAGACAAAAAATGCATGTTTCAGTCATAAAAGAGATTTCCAAAAAGCCTTTAGGAGTTGTGTTTGTAATGAAGGGCAATTATTTATAATTTTAACAACGTTAGAGCCACACATTACACCTTGTTTTGTATCTTTTAGGAACAGTATGTGTTTTTCCTTTTATTCATCATTTCCCCAAAACCTATGGATACAACCTATTTCATTGTATGAATATACAATTTTTTTTTTGAGATGGAGTCTTGCTCTGTTGCCCAGGCTGGAGTGCAGTGGTGCATTCTCAGTTTACTGCAGCCTGTTTCCCAGGTTCCAGCGATTCTCCTGTCTCAGCCTCCTGGGTAGCTGGGATTACAGGTGCATGCCACCATGCCCAGCTACTTTTTGTATTTTTAGTAGAGAATTTTAGTACAGAATTTTGCCATGTTGTCTAGGCTGGTCTCAAACTCCTGACCTCAGGTGATCTGCCTGCATCAGCCTCCCAAAGTGTTGGGATTACAGGCGTGAGCCACCACACCTGGCCTTTACAATTATTTTTTAACATTTCCCTAGTTTGGGCTATTTCTCTTTTCTGCATTTGGCTATTGTAGATTTTACTATATTGAACAGCCTAAAACATAAATTTTTGTCTTAGTTCCTGATTTTTTTTTCTTCAATACTAATTCCTAAAAGTGGAACTTTTGGGTCAAAGTATACAACTTTTTTGTTTTCTTTAATAGCCATTCCTTAGTAAAGCATATAACTTTTTTTAAGGCCCTTGATATATACATAGTCAAAATACTTCCAGAAATATTTACGTTTTCACTACCAAAGTATATGACTACTACTATAGATATTTTATTTATTGATTGATTTGTAGAGATGGGGTTTCATTATGTTGGCCAGGCTGTTCTTGAATTTCTGGGCTCCAGGGTTCCTCCCACCTCGACCTCCCAAATTGCAAGGATTACAGGCATGCACCACTGCTTAAACTTGTATTCCTTTATGCTTTTTTTCATTTGCAATATTAACTATAATGAGGAAAAAAAATAAATATCCTTTAAGAAGAAGAAAAATGGGCCGGACGCGGTGGCTCAAACCTGTAATCCCAGCACTTTGGGAGGCCGAGATGGGCGGATCACGAGGTCAGGAGATCAAGACCATCCTGGCTAACACGGTGAAACCCCGTCTCTACTAAAAAATACAAAAAAAAAAACTAGCCGGGCGAGGTGGCGGGCACCTGTAGTCCCAGCTACTCGGGAGGCTGAGGCAGGAGAATGGCGTAAACCTGGAAGGCGGAGCTTGTAGTGAGCTGAGGTCCCACCACTGCACTCCAGCCTGGGCAACAGAGCAAGACTCCGTCTCAAAAAAAAAAAAAAAAAAAAGAAGAAGAAAAATGTATATCTCACTCTAAGGACAGCAGAGAACGTGTTAACTCAGAGAAAATGATAATAAAAATGATACCCCCTCTATAGCAACATAAAGAGCAGTTTCCAGAAGCAAAAGATGTGGTGAAATGCAATGTTTACTCTGGGTGGTTGCAAGATCCAGGCAGGTGTGGAGCATGGCCGGCTGCTCAGATCTCTGTTCCCTTGTTTCCTTTACATCCCTGCCCACCTCCCTCTGCAGATCTTGTTCACAGAGGCCACTCCCAGGCCAACTGCGAGAGAGATTATGGCTGCAGGCCTCATGCTCCTTTGTTTTGGAAGAAACTGTTGAGGAGTTAGTATTTACTGAGCAGCTAATATGTTCCTGTCACTATCGTAACTCATAATAATTATCGTTAAGTAATACATGAAAAGTTTTACATTTAAAGCATTCCAATATTTTAAAAGTAAAGGGAGCAACAGGCCAAGAGTCCTTTCACTCACTAGCCTCTGATCTTCAGATTAGCATGCATCTTTTGAGAGTTTTTCAGGCATTTACATAAACAGTTATGCAGAAATGTATAGCTTTGCTTTTGTTTTTCAATTGAATCTTTAGTATAGTTCTACAACATGCTTTTTGATCACTTAGAGTGTCTCCATTATCTAGGTTCATGACAATAAATCAACTCTTTTTACCTGCTGCATTGAATTCCTTCTGAGGGATGAGCCATCATTCCTCTAAGCAGTCTCCTGTTGGGTGGCTGGTTCAGTTGGTTACCACTTTTATACTTTAAAAATAGTGCTGCAGTGTCATTCTCACAGAGGCTTCTCTCTGTACCCATGCAAGTACTTTGCTGGACTAGACATCAGGAAGTGGAATTGCTGGGCCAATTGTGCACATTCTAAGTTTCACACTTCATGATATTTTATGAGTAAATAAAGTTCCAATGGTTTTGTCCGATGTCTGAGACCAAATAGCTTGTGAATCTTAGAGCCTTTACGTATTGCTTATCCTCTTTGTGTCCCTAAACCTTATATCGTGGGCCTGGCCCCTTGTGGGTGCTCAGTAAATATTTGTTGAATGACTTTATGAAGGTAAGAAAGAAAAGACAAGTAAGGCCTGGTCTTATTAGCAGCTGTCTGATCACTAGCCTTGGATTAAATGTGGTGGGTTCAGCCCCTGACAGACTTCAGGTCCCCCACCAGGCAGTCTTCCTGAATCCCACCAGGAGTCCACTGGTCCATGACTTGACCATGGTGATGGCCAAGAGTTGGGACTTTGAGGAGTCCACAGTGTTGGACACCCACAGTAGTGGACCCTGGTAGAACCAGGGAGCCCAACGAAGAGGGTCCTGCATGAATCAGAGGGGATTGTGGTAGGTTGGACTTGGCAGGGGAAGTTTGGGGAAGTCATAGGATTCTGAATATTGTCAAACAGTAGAGTGAGGATTTTATGATCGAATAACTGATGTGCATTTCACATAGACATGTTTTTGCAGGTGGTTTTCAATGTTGGGACTCAAACGTAAAGACAGTAAAGGACAGAAATCTTTGGCAGAGGTAAGATCTTCTTCGGTCACCATACTTGAGTTAACTGTAGGGAAGTGGAGGTTTCCATCTGGAATTCTATAGCTTCTTCCAGGTCATAGAGTCTACCCCCCACCTTCTGGTGTCTCCAGATATGAAGCATGAATGAAAATGGGAAATTTCCTGGCCTTCCTTCTTCTCAACTTTCATGTCTGCGTCCTTTTGCTTCAGCTGCTCATGCCTCACTCAGGTAGGGAATGATTCCACACTTGTTTCTGAAGCAGACAATTACCTGATTATGTCCTCATAGGACTTTTGACTCCTTCCCATACCTGAAGTCTATCCTGACCTGAGGGTTCACGTGTCACTAAGAGACAAATGGTGCTTCTGTTAAGATTGGTTTCCCCCTCTATATTCTTTTTTTTTTTTTTTTTGAGATAGAGTCTCACTCTGTCACCCAGTCTGGAGTGCAGTGGCACGATCTCAGCTCACTGCAAGCGCCGCCTCTCGGGTTCGCGCCATTCTCCTGCCTCAGCCT